CACACAGATTCAGCTGCCGGCCCCCGAGCCGAGCAGTCATGAGATTACAGCCGCAGTAATTCAGACAAGGACTAATTTCACCCGGGTCTGCCTGTAAATCCACATGACGGGATAAACATCGTGCGGCTTCGGGCTCATGTACACACGTGCAAAAAATTAAGGAATCTTTGGTGACAAGACAAAAAACACTCCATAAAAATTAATTGCTGTTTAATTGAGGATGTATAAAATGTAATACTTGCAGATGGCCTGACTTTGAGCTTAGGAATAAACAAAATCCGTCTTGGGCACAACTTGCCAATTTCGCGTTGGTGGTTTTTTTCCGATTCGTGGCAGGTCCCCGCTGCTGTGCCTTCAGGGGAAAGGACACCTGGAGAACGTAGCCAGCACTGAGCCACTCACCTGTCCAGGTCCTTTCCTGTCGTTTATCTTCATCGTAATGGCGTTACAGAGACCGGTTGCTTTGGTTTTCTTCAAGCGTGGACTTCTTGAAGCCATGTGGTTGCTGGGACTCTGGGGGGTGGGCGGGGGCAGCCGGGGGGCTCAACCTGCCACTGTGCCGCCGTCCTTGGCATCCGTCCGAAGACAAATTTGCCCAGGAAAAAGCGGAGAGACGTCTTCCAATGTGACTCTGTTTCCTCAGGAGCCTAAAGAAGCCAACTTGGAGGAGGAAATAAAAAGTGTTTTTAAAGGTTTTTATTTGGGGAGCACCCCATCATTTCCGTTTGCTGGCTCCCAGCATTCGCCGGAGAGCGTTAGCCGAGCTGCACCGATCAAGCTTTATAAGTGTCATAAGTCAGATTTGTTTCGCTTTAAAGGCCATATGTTTAAAATGCAGGGCGCAGAGAGTTTCCATCAAACATAGCTGTGGCTCAGCAAAATAAAAGCAGACGAAAGAAACTGTCACTCATAAAACCTATATTTCCTGCTAAGTGGCAGCATTAGAATAGATACTGCAGTCAACTTGGAAGCCAAGCTACGCCATATGTGGCTTTTTTTTTTAAAACATAAACTATTAGTATTCTGTACTGTAAAGTGTATATTATACTTTGCAGTAAATTTGTTGGTTCCTTTCACTAGTTGGTTGAATTTATGCTCATAAAAGCCAACAACCCCGGCCGTGTCCTGGGGAGCCGGCGTGCTCTGAGCATTCGCAGATGTGCCTCCAGCCGCTGCCAGCTGTTGGGGCCGCTCGTCCGGGAGGCGAGTCTCTAAATTCTTCCTACACCGCCCAAGAATGGAGCCATTGGTGGTTTTCAAGGGCAGAGGTTTGCTCGGAAGCAGCTGCAATCCCCGATTTGACTATCCCCCCCGGCCCCGACCCCTAACCAAGCCGGCCCCGGGACCGGGGACAGAGGCGGCCGCCCTCCTCGAGCAACTGGACGCAGCCCAAGTCAGCGGTCACGTTTCGGCTCACCTTGAAATGTAGAAAGTGAACAATTAAATTTCGCACTTCTTAAATGTAAAACACCTTCTCGGGTTTCAGTCCAGCCACATCCTGCTGGTGCCAGAATGTGATCCTTGCATTTTTGGCGCCATCTCTTTGTTTTTAGGCTGGAATGTTTGGAGAATCTCGAGGCGGGAAGAGAACCATTATGCAAAAAAAAGAAAGAAAGAAAGAAAAAAAATATATATGTATGTTTCAACAACCTTGATTCCAAAATCCCAACACAGAACAGCATAAAGAAACATGCCACCTTGCAGAGCTTCCAATGCTGCAATCCTTGCCTTCTCCTTTGTGCCGTGATTCTTTATGGATAACAGGGGAAATTCAAGACTCACGAACATTATCTCCTCTCCAATAAATTGATTGCAGTGTAAGTATTTTATGCAAAGCAAACTTAATCTGCAAGCATGAAGTTATAGCCGGCCAGCTCTGAAAGATCTGTGAGGCAGTGCGTGTTTCCCTGTGATAGAAGAGCCCAAGCTCATCAGGTAAAGTGTATCCCGTGTATTTCCTTATGTCTACAACTGGGTATTCTTCTCTGTTAGCCCTACTGCTAGTCTCACGAAAGGAGCAACCCGGCCCGGCTGGCCTCTGTGTATGCCCCATTAGCTCCGGGATCGTAGCTGAAGCGCAGTAGGTGCCCTGATGGGTGGATACGTAAATGATTGGTGAATGACTGAATAGGACTACGTCTCCCAACCCTGTTCCATTTTATTTCCAGTTAGTGCAAGGTTATTCTCATACCCCGTTTATGGCCTTGAAATCTGACAGCCAGTCCCAACTAGTTCATTCCCGTATTAGCAACTCTTGCTCCTCTGGGAGGGCTGGGCGCCGCGCACACTCACTCTGCAAGGCTTGCGGCTCCGGTTTCTCTGGGCCGTGGCAGTTACATGGCTGCTTCGCGGCCACACCAGAAATCAGACAGGAGCAGTCAGTAGACTTTGCTAAAACATGTCTGTATCCACAGGAAGAAGCCTGATGGAAGACAGAGCTAGGAGTATCAGGGAAAATCAGATTGTGGACACTATGGATTTAAGTGCCTGAGTTCTCCGTCATTGCTCCAGGGCAATAAGAGTGTCTTATATCTAAAAATAGAATGGCAACTTCGTAAGGTGGTTGTGAAGACAAAATAAGGTCATATTTGCATCTAATAGACATTTAATAAATATTCATTCTCTTTCCTGTAGTTTGGATTTATGTAAGTCCTTAAGAACTGTCATTGTTTCCAAATATCGTATCCTCTTTTCATCCTAACTATGAGGTCATCATTAAACATCTTAATGATATTATGGCGAAACATTCAAAATGTGATTGGAGTTGAAGTTATCAGAGGTTCAGAATGGAAATGTAGATAATAAGATTTTAATTTTCCAATATGCTGCCAGTGTCCTATTTACTAGACAAATGACTTCTAGGTATTAAAAATGGAATGAATAAGGTCGGGCGCGGCGGCTCACGCCTGAAATCCTAGCACTCTGGGAGGCCGAGGTGGGTGGTTCACTCAAGGTCAGGAGTTCAAAACCAGCCTGAGCAAGAGTGAAACCCCGTCTCTTCTAAAAATAGAAAATAAATTAATTGGCTAGCTAAAAATATATACAAAAAATTAGCCAGGCATGGTGGCGCATGCTTGTAGTCCCAGCTACTCGGGAGGCTGAGGCAGGAGGATCGCTTGAGCCTAGGAGTGTGAGGTTGCTGTGAGCTAGGCTGACGCCACAGCACTCTAGCCTGGGCAACACAGTGAGACTCTGTCTCAAAAAAAAAAAAAAAAAAAACACACACACACACACAAAAGGAATGAATAAAGGTCCTGGTGTCCTCAATTCGAATTTTACCTGAGCAGACTCTTAGCCAAATGCACGCGCCCACTCACTCTCCACTCTCAGCCACGCCCCGTCTCCACTCTCCCCCACAAGGGCCGGGGCTGTCGGGTCTGCAGGGCGGGCAGCCTGTACCGTCTAGAAAGAGACCACGCCCGGGATGCAAGCTTGTTTCGTTGCAGGCTGCAGCTTCAGCTGCACTGTGGTCTGAACAGCCGGCCGTGTGGGGACCCCGAGACACCTGAGAACACTCTCCTCCGTGGAGAGGGCAGAAGAGAGAAAGCATCCCTGCCTTCCTGGAGGAGGAGGGAGGCCAGCTAAAGGACCAACGCTGCAGTGAGCGCTCAGGGCCGGGGGTCCCACGGTGGCTTTGGAAGGAGAGGGGGCAGAAGGGACTAACTAGCAGGTGGCCGTAGGCCGGAAGGGTCTCCAAGGCTCAAGTGCCCCCCAATCAAGAAACACCGTCCCCCCCCAGGGGCCCCCAGAGAACATGGGCTGCCTTGCGTGGAATTTGCTCTGTCGTCGGCTGGTTACCGAGTGCTCTGTGATTCCCCAAATCACGTCTGTTCCCTTGTGCGTCTCCCAGATTTAAATTTCACTGTGGGGCTAACACTCGGAACAGTAGCAAACTTATCGCTTCATTAAGTCTCAAATTAAATGCAGACAAATATTATCCCTACGCTATGCTACTCTAAATGCAGAAGAAACTCAGTCTTCAGTGTTGTCTTGTCACAAGAGGTGTGAAGGGGAGAAGGTTTTCAAGGAGGTGAGACCTAGAGAGAATCTCTCTTAAGTGCCGAGTAAGGAGAGCTCGACGGACAGCATCGTCCCGAGACTTCGGTCCTTGCAGTTGTGAGTGGCATGTTCCTGCAACCGTCTTTAAAAACAAATCACATTAGGGTTTTGTTTTGTTGTTTTTAAGTGCAGCTTCAGTCTTGTGTCTTGTTTTGTTTGTTTTCTTGGTGAAATGGACAGGCAGCCGCGTGCCGCTGTTTGCGTGTGCGTGTGCCGGGAGGGGCGAGGAGGCCCGGGAGGGGCCTGGGCTCGACCGCCCCCGCCTGCGCACCCCCAGGCCGGCGGGTCGGGGGCGCAGCGCCCCCCACAGGAGCGCATCATGGCGCGGCGGCCGCGTCCCCACATCCTGGAGCCCCAGGCAGGCTGCTAGGAAGTTCTACAAATGTCAAAAAAAAAAAAAAATGTGGAAGGCATTAACTCTGTGACCCCTCAGCTGATGGGAAGACTCGGGGTCAATAAAAATATCGCCGCCCGTGACTGTTTAACGTGGTGATAAGTTTCCTTGGATATATCAAATATTCAAAGCATGAGGGTTATATTACTTTTATATTTTTCTTAAGATAAGAACGATAGATAAAGCCGTAATAAATGTGGGAGCCGTTTATTGTGAAACATTTTCTACAGCCCTTTGAATCTCTGTCCCTTTTATTTTGTAACGGACATTGCCTTTCCGAGTTTGACGAAGTCCCTCCTGTCCAGGCTGATAAAGCGCACGCGACGCTTGACAAAGAAAACCGGTGGGGGTCGCCTCAGTCGTCACTGTCGTGGGCAAAACGGAAGAGTTTCCCGCAGTGACATTGACACAGATGTGTATATATATATATATATATTTTTTAAGCCGACAAGTACCTCGCTGCGTGGCGCCCCGCCTGCGTTTCTGCTCTGTCGTGCTAACGTGGCCGTCTCCTTTCTCTCTCCCCGGTGACCCCGGCGGGCGGCAGGTGGTTCTGCGAGGGCAGGGAGCTGCTCGGCTCCCCCGACATTCAGATCCGCGGCGACGGGGACCTGCACAGCCTGGTCATAGCGGAGGCCTTTGAGGACGACACGGGCCGCTACACCTGCCTGGCCACCAACCCCAGCGGCTCCGACTCCACGTCCGCCGAGGTGTTCGTGGAAGGTGAGGGGCGCGTGGCCAAGGCGGGGGGATGTCCCACGCGCGGGCTGCCTCCTCTCCTCGCGGCGGGGGGCTTCGTGAAGGCGTTGAACGGCTCCGACACTCGGGTTCACGTCCGCTATCCCTGATGCCGGCGTGCGTTCCTCTTAATTCAGAACGTTTCACTGTGTTAGATTTATTCCAGATACAGGGGCCCAACTTATTTGTATCTTTCCCTGGTAAACGAAGTACGGGCACGTAACTGAAATGGCGTGTCCACAAACACCACGCTATAGACGATTTAGGAAGTCATTCATGGGAATCGTGAGGGATTGAATATTTTTAAATGCCGCCAGTTTTGCTAAATTCTGGAACTCTGCCTCTTTTGTTAAGACTCCATGATGCCCGCTGAATGCACCGTGAGCTCACGGGCGCTAGGTGAGAGCGATGTCAAGAATCGGTGTTGGGTACCAGAGGGGCTGGCAGAGAATGGAATCTCTCTCTTGCGGCGTTCGTTTTTTGACAAGACTCGGCACCTGGGGTATTGGAAAACTTGGTGTCAGAGTTTACATTATGATTGTGTTTTGATCAATACCAATAATTTAAAACAGTTGGGAGTGTTTTAAACACTACAGCCCCTAAATTCACACATTGGTGAGCACTCTTGTTAATTGGCTGCTTTTTCAAAATAATAATTAAAATATAGAAAGTAGATTAAGGTCCTTGATGTCTGCACTATTTTAATGTTCGTTTTTTTAAAAATCATTCAATAGTACCGAATTTATTCATTATTTAAAATGGAAGAAAGCAAGATGTGAACTTATAGCTCCTTCGAGAACCGACAAAAAGAATTTAGTTTTAAAGGTAGCTGTTACTGGTGATTGAAAGCAGGGACCTTTCCTTTTAATAAAACGACCCTCAACACTGTCCTTGGAGACAAACATTGTCAGGCTCCTCAAGGACTCTTGTCCTTTAATACCAGCAAAATTCTGTATGTCACAACGATTAATACTTATAAAATGCATGTACACGCACACACACACACATATACGTGATCATTTAAACTTTGCCAGAAGCCTACAACTGGTGTCCCCCAAACTGAGATCCAGAGAGGGAAGAGGGACTCCCAGAGGGTCTCAGCCCAGGGCCCACGTTCTGAGCCAGCACACGGCACTGACAGGCATTGCAAGGTGCTACGTGAGCGAAAAGTGAATGACAGAAAGGCTTTAGCATGTCACTAACGAGGCAGCAGTATTATTCCTGGGTGGGCCGTGTGGCAAAATTCTGGGAGCATTTTAGAAATACGACGAAGGAAACGTAAACTTGCATAAAAAACCCTATGTGCTAATGATGATCAGTTTTGTCTCCGAATTCTCGTGGGACTGGCCCCACCGCCTGAGAGACCAACTAGGGAGAAAGGTGACAGGGAAGGGAAGGGCCTGGTCTGAGCCTGGGACACCCCTGCAGGTGGTGTTGCACCAGGGGGAGTTGCCAACAAGAGAGGTGAAGGAGGAAGAGCCCGGGGTCAGGGAGGATCCAGGCCCAGTGGCGCAGGGAAAGCCAGAGAAAGCATCTCCCGAGGAGGGGTTTGCTCTGGGTCGGCTGCCGAGAGATCCAGGCAGAGGAGCAGGAGGACGGACACCTGGATTCGCAACATGGGGCGTTGTGGGTTATTTGAGAGAGGGGGTTGGGGATCTGGAGTGGAACAAAGACCCAAACAACACGGGTGAGGAGAGCTGTGAAACACGGAAGGAGAAGCAGCAGGCATTTAACAACAGGTGCTTCCCGGGAAGTTCTGCAGAGACACGGCCAGTGTGTGGAGGGAGTGTGTGGTCGAGAAAGGTGGTTTTGTGCGGTTGGCACACCAAGCAGGTGTTGCTCTAGCATGTTTGTACACGATGAAAATGGTGCAAGAGAGAAACATGGATCACATGGATCGTGCAGGAGGGAGGGAGGGTAGGATGTGAAGTCTCTAGAAAAGGGGAAGGCCGCAGAACCTGCCCACGCATACACCAGGGCGGGACCCTCGAGGACCAGCTGGCAAAGAGACGTTCTCCAGAATTTCCTGCACGGACAGAAGAGATTGAGGCAAACACGTGAAATCAGCGCAGACAGCTCGCATCTCCCCGCTGCCTCCCGGGGATTGTCAGATGGACACACAGAGCCCTGTGGCTTTACGAGCTCCACAGAGGGCGGGATGAGCCCACACATGGGGGAAGGGAGCTGGGTTCCAGATTCCACCCACCCTGTGGCCAGGGCATGTCGGGGCCCGTTGAGGGGAGGGCAGGGCACCGTAGGGGGACGAGCGTGACACGGGTGGGCACGTCCTGCTGACACAGGTTCCCAGCGCTATGAGCCAGCAGGTAAAGTGTGCACCCCTGTGAGTGACATTTGAGCAGCTGTGACGGGTGTCATGGCTCCAGCTGATCCCGGCGGTGGACGCCAGGACCGCTACCACGCCTCTCTTCTGCTTTGCTGGATTTTGAGAAGCCAGAGGATCTGAGCATGGCTGTGGCCCTTCTACATGGCATTTATTTTTAAGTAACTCTTCATGATGCCTTGTGGCTGCCTGAGTTCCTCATTCCGTGACCGAGTAGTCATCCAGCAGTGCTGTGTCTCCGTGTCCTCACCTGGAGATGGCCAGACTGTTGCAAGGGTCGGAGGGGTTAGTCTCCTAGAGCCGAGCCTGGCACAGAGTGTGGCTATTCCTGCCGTTACAAAAATAGCGTAGTTTTATTTCTGAAATGAAAATATAGAGATAAACGGAAGATATGAAAGCCATGTCTAATCCCACTGCCTTGTGATAGTCACTCATAACACTTTGATCTTTCCCATCTTTTTCCTACATGTGATTACATCTATTTTTGCTCTATAAATTCTTTTGTACCCTGTTTTTTTTTAATTTAACCTATTCTGTCACTAATATCTACCCATGTCATCAAATATTCTTTAAAATTCATTTTAATTGAATTGCTGTATCCTTTATAGTTGTTCATCATTTATAAAACAATGTATCATTGACATTGCTTCAGTTACTCTTGTCTGTGAATGATCCTTGCTGTGCTGGTGATTATAGCAACTGGCTTAAAAGGGAGGGAGAAATAGGAATGAGAGGAAGACCACATTTACTCTTAACTATTACAAGGTAAAACAGGTATAAAAGGATAAATTCCATGACTCAGTTCAGGAAAGTCACTTGGGGATTTAAAACATTATATATATATATATATATATATATATATATTTTAATAGTTGATAGCTACCTTTATGAAGACTTCCTATTTCCTGAGGCTGAAGCTATATGATTTACATCTAGTGTTCTTCCACTCGGAAATATATATATATATTCTTAAATTAAGGAAGATATCAGATAGACAAAAATAAAAATCATTAGAACATAGTGTTTTCATGAATGTGGGGAAATGGATGTTTTGATATATTGTGATTTTATACATCTTTCTGGAGAGATGCAGAAAAAAGAAAATAATACATATATCCAATAATAATGGAATGATGAAATTATGGTAAAGCCACACAAATTTGAAGCAGCTATTAGAAAATCATAAAGTACAGGCTTATTTATTGGCATGGAAAGGCATTTCATGATGTGCTAAGCGTGAGGGGGAAGCAATAATTGAATAGTATGCAGAGCATTGTCTTACTTTTGAAAATATATTTATTACTTATCTGTGTACACAGGGATAAACTTTGAAAGTATGTGCTCCAAAATATCTGAGTGGCGGTATTCCAGGTGACTTTTTTTTCTTTAATTCTTGCTTTTGTGTATTTTCTGGGTCTTTTCTTAAAAGACAGTATTAAATTGGGCAAGGCTTAAAAACAACAAGGGAGCTCCTTTTACAGTCAGGACAGGAGGCTTGCTGGTGCAACATTCCCCGGCATCCCCTGCCAGAGCAGCGAGTCCTGCACTCTGTGTGCAGGAGGTGAGGATTCAGGAAAACAGGGGGGCGGGTTAAGATCCAGGCAGGTAAATATCAGAGGAACAGGTGATGGTCATTGCAAGGACTAGAACGTGTAACTCTTTCAGATTGGAGCCTACGTGGAAATCTGAACGTGATGGTTGATGCACAGGGAGGAAAATGTTAACCTGAGACGGGAGTGTTTTCTCCTGCGGGGCAGGTGCCGGGCGCATGACTGGCGGGAGGACAGAGTGGGGGGAGGGGAGAACTGCCCCGAGGGAGGGAGGGAGGGAGGGGGCTGGCTGTGCAGAGAGGGAGACTTGATCTGCCACCACCGCCCACAGGAGCTGCTCTGACACCTGAGCCACAAGGTGACACTGAGATCCCGCAAGGCCTGGACAGGTGTGGGAACACTAGCAGATGTGTTCTTACTCGGGGGACGACAACCTTTTTGGTCCTTTACCTTTCTCTGAAAATCAGCTAGAACAAAATGCAGCGAGAATGGCTTTCTAAATGGAGGTCGTTAAAGGATTTTTTGTGTGTGTATGTGATGATTTTATTGTTTAGATTCAGGTGAAAAATAGTCATTTCTCTCCCCAATTTTTGGCCACACTGAGAGTGTCTGTGATGACTTCCATATGGTTTTTTCAACCTCTCACCCTCTCCCAAACACTTTTATGACTCTAATAAAACGGTGTCTCGGGTGACCCTGACCTACTGATGGCTGAGTCTTCCCTGGAGTTCCCTGGCATTCCTGCTCAGCTCTCTCTGCCCTCGGCACGGTTAAAGGTTTCCTTGTCTGTGACCTATTTTTAAGGGTTTGTTGTTTGTTTTGCCCAGTTTTTCCCCATACTCCCCCAGTTAACCCTGCACAGTTAATTTCCCCAGCCCCACACCCGATGCCTCGACAACCAAGTCCAGGCCCCCGAGTTGCAGACCCCACACGGATGTCTGGCCCGGCCCCCCAGAGTAAAGTTATCCAGCGGTGAAAGAAACAGAGAGAGAGAGAGAGAGAGAGGGAGAAGGGCCAAACAATGTGGCTTTATTGAGTGCTCCCGGGCGAGGTTCGTGGGTCCCAAGAGAAGGGGGTGGCGAGACGTTGCATGCGTTTGAAAGGGGTGAAGGCTTTTATACTGTTTGAGGCAGACCGGGGACTTTTGGCGGGAAGGGCTGGGGATTTTTCCACTGTGACCTTGGGCGGTTATTGAGAAATAGGAGGGGCTAGCGGTATTTGCGGAATCCAGGAACGGAAAACTTTCTTATCTGGGTGGACGTCCAGGTATTGTTGTTTTCAGCCGTCCTGCCAGTTGTCTTTGGCGGGTCTGGTCTCATGAGCCTTTTCTTTTTGATCTAGGGAGGGGAGGGGGCCGCCACCAGCCTTACACCCAGCACGCTGCTCCCTCTGGTTGCACAGTCCCCCTACACCCCCCGGTCCCCACACGGGCATTGCCGTTCCCCAGCTCCACTCATGCACCCCGGCAGAAGCCAAAGGGTGTGCACGGCGCAGGAGGGTCACGTGGTAGGAGGGAAGGTCATGGATCGTGAGCTCAGACAACGTGAGTGCAGTTCCTGTGTCACTACGGCTTTCGAGTTACGTGCCCTCGTGCAAATTAAGAACCTCTTGCTTCCTCAATCTTCTTATCTGTAAATTGGAAGTCTCTTCCTACCGAGGTTCTCTATTATAGTAACTGAATGATGTGGAGCACCTAGCAGACAGATAGTAGGTGGTCAAAAGTTGGCAGTTACCTTCCCAACCCCACCTGAGTTCTCAGGGAGCTAACAGTTTTCTGGCGGGCGTGATACTGTAGGCGACCTGAGTGGTAGCAGCAGGAACACCTGGAGCTCAGAGGAGAAAGAGCACAGAGCAGTGCCGGGCTGATCTTACGAGAGGGGACATCAGGAAAGACTGGCGGCCGAGGCGGGAGGGTCGCTTGAGGTTAGGAGTTCAAGCCTGGGCGAGAGTGAGACCCCGTCTCTACCAGACATAGAAAAGTTGGCCGGGCATCATGGTGCAGCTGTAGTCCCAGCTACTCAGGAGGCTGAGGCAGGAGGATCGCCTGAGCCCAGCGGTTTGAGGTTGCCATGAGCTGTGATGACACCACAGCACTCCACCTTGGGCAACAGAGCGAGACCCTGTCTCAGAAAAAAAAAAAAAAAGACTGAGAAGGAGTTTCCTAGAGAGTGAATATGATTATTAAAGGCACAAATATGAAAAACAAGCAAAGGGGGAAAGTCCCCACCTCCCCTGGGTCCCGTGGAGGCTTCTTGCCGCCATATTTAAGATTATAACCCCTCCCGCCACTGCCATCACTGCCTCTGCCCCTCCCCTGCGTAATGCTCTCCTGTTTCACTCCCTGCCGTGCCGTGTATTTATTCTCTCGTCTGTGTTCTCACAAGGGCAGAAGTGTGTGTGTGTACGTGTGCGTGTGTGTTGTGCGTGTGTGTATGCGTTCATGCGTGTGTGCATATGTGTGTGTTCATGTGTGTGCGCATGCGTGAATGCATGTGTGCGCGTGTGTTCATGTATGTGCTTGCATGTGTGTGTGCACGTGTGTCTTCCTCACCGCCACCCCCCACCCATGGAGCGCGCACACCAGCAGGTTCAGCTCTGTGTCCGGGTCACGTGACTTGGAAGTGCAGGAGGTTTTGGCAAATTAAGCTGGAAAACCAGGTTAGAAATCATGAAGGCCATTAAATGTCTGGTTTGGGGGTTTTTACCTTACTGCGGAGAGTCTCCATCTGCTTTTCTATCTGGAAAGGTGTGCTCTGGGAACACTGATCCCATGTGGCGCAGAGGTGAATTTGAAAAGGGGAGGGACGGGAGATGAGACGAGAGACTGCCGAGGCAGCCCAGGAACCAGGCAGGGGCACCCACACTGGGCGGCAGTCACAGACATAAATAGGAAGGGACAGCAAACATTCCGGCAGAATTACCTAAACATGACCGTTTCAATGTCAATAAAAGGCTGGAAACCGCACTGCAGCGAGTCACGGGTCACGGGGGGAGCGCCAGGCGGCCGTCCAAGTTAGCCGAGTGACGCCTAGGTTCCAAGTCTACCGACATCGAAAGCAGTTCATTGCAAAGCATACGTGTAGCATGGATCCATTTGTGTAACTGTGCACACAAATGCATGTAGCTGACACAAGGTACTTAACCCATCTGAGAAAATGCAGACCAGACCGTTGGCACCTGCAGGATGGTATTTACAAAGGTTCCCACTGATTGTGGCTGTTACACCACACAATTCTGTGCTATCTGGTTATTTTTCCTCTAAGCATGTATTATTTCATAAGGTCATTTAAATAACCCCCAAGTTAAATAGATCTTAGAAACATCAAGAACATACTTTTTAACTCTTATAGTTAGTTTAAAATCTATCACCTAAAAAAATCTCTTGACGCAAAATAGTTAGACATTAAAGTCTGAGTGCAGTTTTATTTACATTTTGACCAAAAATCTGATATGGTGACCTTCTGTGTAGGAACAGTAGTGACATCATGGAGTTTGGGAGAGCCTGGTCCAATGTCCTTCAGGAGTGAAGCCACTGTCACTCTTGGTTTTCCCCGCGAGGCAGACGGCATCTTCCGGTTAATGAGTAGTGAAGACACTAATAAGCCACACTCTGTAATCTCTTGGCGAGGGTTGCGGTTTAAACGGGTGGATGTTTTTCACACAGACACACATATGCACACACCTTTCATGGTTCATAAGCCGTGATGATAAAAAAATAATGAAGCCAAAAATGAATCTGCCATTAAAAGCATATTGCTTTGAAGAAGGCGATTTATCATAACTCTTTTTAAAAATGATTTTCCAAAGGAATGGTCCAACTGAAAATGGTCTAAACCCGAATCATTCGCTATTCCATTGTGTAATGAGGTCAAAAAATAAAGAGTTTGTATGTTTTGATTTAAAATGAGGGATGTAGTTCTTTGGAATTCTTATAAATGCCGCAGACATCCTAACTTTGTCATTGTCTTCGATGCTTCCCCAGGTGCCAGTTCAACAGATTCCGACAGCGAAAGTTTAGCTTTCAAACTAAAAGCTGGAGTTATGCCACAGTAAGTGCCTGTAATCCCACCCATTGTTTATGAACAGGGAATGCAACACAATAGCCGAAACTGCATGCCGCGCTTGGAAGGAAAAGGCCAGATGATGTCAATCAGAGATCAAACATTTGAAGTTCAACGCAAGTTTTTAACTCACACATTTTAACTATGAGGCCTGCATTTCATCACTGACATGCCCAAATTTAACCACAAGCAACGTTAGTTTCAAAGACAACTATCTAACTGACTATAAATGTATGAAAAGAGCTGTCACATTGAGAGAAAATCAGCTAAATCATTACTAAAATGTACATGAGAACCAAGTTATTTATACAAATTGGAAAATATCTCATCAGGCCAGAAATGGATTTCCATTCAGAGAAAATCGATTTCTATTTAGATCATGTACCTGAAAAATCACAGAATTTAGTTATTCCTACGAAGACGCATGGGCTATTAATAAAATGTTAATAGCTTAATTATTTAACAAAACTAAAATCTACCGGGAATTTGTAGAAACCTTCATTGATATCCAGACTATGATAATAAATTCCTTTGATCTGCTAGTGTCTACAAGGCAGTTATATCCATTCAGCATCAAATAGTCACAGCTGCTAAAGGGACCTTATAGGACCATGTGCTTTCTCACCCCTGATTTTAGGTACCGAGGTCCAGTTTAGAGAAGTTACATGACTTGCTTGAGATGGTACCGCCGGCTACTTGGCAAAGCTGGGCCTGGAACCAACTCTTCTTGATCTTTTCTCTACACCTCACTAACTTTTATGCACTTAGGAAAAGACAAAAATTCCAAGATACTCTCAACAAAATTAGAAACCAGAACAAAGAACAGCTGCTAGACTTAAAATAGGCAACCGCAACTTCCAGTTAAATATAGGACCCTAACCCTACACATTTCAAATGTCTGCTGACCGATAAAGATTGGACCTTTCCCAAATATTTTACCTTAAGATTTTCAAGTTTGATACTTTGGAATCCTCAGCAGTGTCTTGAGTGACAGCTAGCTGCTTTTCTTTCATTCCTGTGTTCATTTTTGCTAAACGTCTGAAGCAGTCCCAGTTGGAGTGGATTGAGCATGGGAAAAGAAATGTGTCAAGGGATGATTCCCGCTAAAAAGATTCTGACTTGAACACTTGCCTCGCTGTTTTCCAGAGCTCAAAAGAAAACAACTTCCGTTTCCTTGACGATAGGAGCGTCCTCTCCAAAGACGGGGGTGACCACGGCCGTGATTCAGCCGCTGTCTGTCCCTGTCCAGCAGGTAGGTCGCCGTGGCCAGGGCGCGCAAGGAGGGGAGCTCCTTAGCAGACTTGTTGGTTTTAAGAATGCAACTTTGGGCCGGGCGCTGTGGCTCACGCCTATAATCCTAGCTCTTGGGAGGCCGAGGCGGGCGGATTGCTCAAGGTCAGGAGTTCAAAACCAGCCTGAGCAAGAGCAAGACCCCGTCTCTACTATAAATAGAAAGAAATTAATTGGCCAACTGATATATATATAAAAAATTATCCGGGCATAGTGGCGCATGCCTGTAGTCCCAGCTACTTGGGAGGCTGAGGCAGGAGGATGGCTGCTGGGTGTTAATCCCTGGAATGTCATATCTGTGAGCTAGGCTGACGCCATGGCACTCACTCTAGCCTGGGCAACAACAAAGCGAGACTCTGTCTCAAAAAAAAAAAAAAAAAAAAAAGAATGCAACTTTGATTCTAACTAGCGGACTCCCTCGAGATATTTCCTACATGGAAACAGAACGGGAAGGAAAGGAAATGGTAGATACTGCTCTTCCTTCTCATCCACCAAAACTAATCTCCAGCCAAAGCCACGCCACCGATCAGTCAGCATCTGCATTTCCGCTGGGAACCTCTTTCTCGCCCAGCTGATGATCTGATTAAATGGTGTCTGTTTTAGCCGTGACTATTTGACTTTCCCTCACATACACGCGCTCTCCATTTAGCCAAATCCACTAGCTCATCTCAAACAAATTAAAAGGCAAGAAAAGTCCACATGCCAACAAAAAGCTTTCCGATTCCTAAAATCTAAACAGATAAGAGTGTTCGGGTGTAACAGAGAAGCCTAAGAACAGAAAGATGTGCGTGCATCTAGGCATGCATGTATCATTCTCATGCAAAGAGCACGTTTCTAAGTTGTTTAGGTTCTACAGGGACACAGAATGCAATGCGATTATATCCCACTTGTATACTTGGAAGAGTGAAGTACTCCGAGAGACTCTGTCACTTGGTGATCATGGGCAGTGTGACATAAAGGTTAGGGCTCTGGAGTCAGACTGCTGGGTTTGTCTTTTTGTTTTTGTTTGTTTTGTTTTTTTGAGACAGAGTCTCACTCTGTTGCCTGAGCTAGAGTGCCATGGTGTCAGCCTAGCTCACAGCAACCTCAAACTCCTGGGCTCAAGTGATCCTCCTACCTCAGCCTCCCGAGTAGCTGGGACTATAAGCATGGGCCACCATGCCCAGCTAATTTTTATTTAGTTGTCCGGCTAATTTCTTTTCATTTTTAGTAGAGACAGGGTCTCACTCTTGCTGTGGCTGGTCTCAAACTCCTGACCTCAAGGGATCCTCCGGCCTCGGACTCCCAGAGTGCTGGGATTACAGGCGTGAGCCACCACGCCTGGCCTCAGACTGCTGGGTTTGATCACAGTTCTCCCACTTCCTAACTAAGGGATCGTAAGCAAATGGTGTGATAGAAACTGTGCCTCGTTTATCCATCTGTAAAATGAAGGGAGCCTAACTACCAGTCCCACAGGGTTGTCTCGAAGATTCCGTGAGTTAATCTTCATGTGATGTTTAGGACAGTACCTGGCACAGAGCAAATACTATAAAAGTGCTCATACATTCTGTGGACATAAAAAAAAAACAGTGAGAAGTGAGATCCAGACCTCCTGGGTTTCAATGTAAGCCAGTAGGAAGTCCTCCAGGAGGGATGAACAGGCCACCCCCACCCCGCACCCCACCCCGCACCCTGCCCCACACCCCCACCCCGCACCCCCACCCTGCACCCCCACCCCACACCCTGCCCCACACCCCCACACCTCTGCCAGCGCTCGTGACACCCCGTGGCAGGTTCAGAGGGTCCCAGGTCACCGTCGTCTCGGGTTAAGACGTGAACAGCCACTCATCTAAGTGAATAACTCCAGATTATTTGAAAATAAGTGTCTGTGCGCAAAGAAATATTTTCCGTGCATGACTCTGAAACCCTTACATTTCCCTAGAGACGAGTGCCGTCCAATCAGCGTCTCAGCACCCTTTTTTGGGTTTTGCACATCAAGAAAAAAATAATGTATATTCCTTTCTCCCCGTCTTTTCCCCACAATCCCTGCATCAAAAGAAAAAAAGAGTGGATGTTAAAAATAAGATAGGTAGATATTCGATAATTTACTTTACCCTGCACTGCCAATAGCTGATGCATCTAATTTAATGAATCGGGCGGTATTTAGAAATAAAATGCAAGGTCTGGGAGAACCGCCCCCCCAAACCCGTTTGGTGACAGCATCAAACACTCGCGGCCCCCCAGGGGCCCGGGGAGCTTGTACCTCGAACATCCTTTTGAGCGGAGAAGGTAGCAGGTGTGAGCTGAGGAAGTGGAAGGAGTCTGCCCTGTGAGGGCCTTGGAGCGGGGACATGCAGGGACGTGGGGGGACGTTCAGCCGCAAGCTCCGCTCAGGCCGGGTCCCCGCGGCGAAAGGCTGCTGGCGCCTGTGCTCCCGGCAGTCTGTGTGTCTGGAGTGTGATCCGCGTGCCTCTGCCGTTCCAGGTCCAGAGCCCGATGTCCTGCCTCTGCCGGCCGGATGGAGCCGCCGCTGCCCACTTCCCGCCCGTCTTCACCAAGGTCTGGCATCTGGAAGTTTCGTTCTCTGGGTCTGCGCGGTCCTGAGATCCCACCTGCGTGGGGTCTTCATGAAAGACAGGGCACGGGTTAGTGGGCTGGCGGTCGCGGTCCCCCCTGAGGCCGGCTGCAGAGGTGTCGTGGTCCCATGGGGGGTCTGAAGGACACGGGTGTCGGGCAGCTGCCGCATGGCCGTGGTCCCGTGGCGGGTCTGAAGGAGGTGGGCATTGGGCAGCTGCCATGTGGCCATGGTCCCGTGGCAGGTCTGAAGGACACGGGTGTCGGGCAGCTGCCGCATGGCCGTGGTCCCGTGGCGGGTCTGAAGGAGGTGGGCGTTGGGCAGCTGCCACGTGGCCGTGGTCCCGTGACAGGTCTGAAGGAGGTGGGCATTGGGCAGCTGCCACGTGGCCATGGTCCCGTGACAGGTTTGAAGGACACAGGTGTCGGGCAGCTGCCACGTGGCTGTGGTCCCATGGGGGGGTCTGAAGGACACGGGTGTTGGACAGCTGCCGCGTGGCCGTGGTCCCGTGGCGGGTCTGAAGGAGGCGGGCGTGGCGGGAGCCGGCAGAGCTTAACAATCCGGTGGGGAAGCCAAGATGGGAGGAGGGACGAGACAGCACTGGGGAGGGAACCGCCTGGGAGGTCTAGCAAGCTTTGTGGACATCGGAATAACCGACCGCTTTCCAGTTGGCTCTGAGCGGTTGACTCGCAAGGCCAGGCTGTGTGACGCCCGATCCCCCCTCTGCCAGCCCCGTCAGAAATGGCTCTGCACAGCGTTTCTTCTCTTTCTGCTATTTCTTTTTTTTTAGAGAAAATTATAAAGCTGTATGGAAAGACATTTTAACCCTTTGCACTCGCTTGCTTTTTTTCTCGATTCCTTTATTCTACTGGGGATTTAATTTTTTAAATGCCCCAGATTTTACAAAGCGCGGCAGTAGAATAAAAAACTGGAGTCTCTTTTCATACAAACTTCTTTGTTTGGATTTTTTTTATATATTTCAGATTTCTGATACATTCAAAGAGTAATTTTAATCTCTATAATTTTTGCTAGCCGTGTCGAGTCACACTCGACATCCGAGTGCAAAGGGTTAAGAGGCCAGGATAAATAGGGGGATGACGCCGTGCTTGTGGATGGAGAGACGATAAAGAAGTCCTGACCCCCTGCTCAGTCTATGCTCCATGCACGCCTTGCTAAAACTCCAACGTGGGCTTCTTGCTTCTCTTTGTTTGTTCGACACAGAATTGAGAAGCCTAATTGTGAAAGGTGCGTGGAAGAAAAAAGTGGCTAAAGGTAGGCAGGGCAGCCCTGCAGAGGGAAAAGGAGACGGTGTTACGCGGGGCTGGAATTCGAGCTGTAGGATGTCAGGGCAGTCGTTGAAAGGCACAGGAGCGAGGGTAGCGCAGAGCCGGCAGGGCCGGAGAGACCGAGGGCCATCGCAGTGGCGCCCACGCAGGGCCCGGTGCTGCGGAACCCGGCAGCTTCCTGGGGAAGGAACGAGCTGTTCAGCTGGTCTCCGGCCTCACGCTCTTCACCACGGCCAATTCCAAGTAAACCAGGGACAAATGCGAGAGCAAATCAATCCATGGAGACTTCGGTGAGGGAGTAGGGAAAGCATCTTTAGTGTCTTCATGTAGGGAATGATGTTTCCCTCTCCTGAATCCAAGCCTCATTGCAGATGTTTTCATAATAAGCAGTTAATGATCTTTCCAGCTGGGCACCAGCAAAAAGTGACAACGGGTGATAACAGCTTCTAGACTCCCCTCTGGACAGATTATGAAAGGAAGAAAGAAAAGAAAGAAAAAAGTGAAAAGAAAGAAAGAAATGAAAAGAAAGAAAGAGGAAAGAAAGGGGAAGGGGAGGGAAGGGGAAGGGAAGGGAAGGGGAAAGGAAAGGAAAGGAAAGGAAAGGAAAGGAAAGGAAAGGAAAGGAAAGGAAAGGAAAGGAAAGGAAAGGAAAGGAAAGGAAAAGGGGAGGAAGGAGAGGGAGAAAGGGAGGGAGGGAGGGGAAGGGGATGGAAGAAAAAGAAGGAAGGGAAGGGGAAAGGAAAGGAGAGGAGAGGAGGAAGAAAGGGAGGGAGGGAGAGGAAAGAGAAAGACGCGTAAATCCTCCCAAAGGCTCCCAGCGAGCACAGCAGCATGCGTGTTCCGGGGCGCATGGGGGGGCGGCCCCCACCGGGCGTGCAGTGCAAGCGCTTTGCACAGCGGCTGCTCAAGGTCACTGCCAGCGTGTGCGCTGCCCCACGTCCTGGTAACCAAGGCTGGGTTGGCTGGGGCCTGTCCGTCTAAACAGACAGGGTGTGAAGTCTCGCTTCCTGTCGCCCCAGGGCTCCGCCCCGGTGGCTCTGGAATGTCAAAGAATCCCTCCTGGACACCAAGGGGAAGCCTCGACAGCTAGAAACAAAACCCAGTTTCCTCCATTGAGTTCCAGATCCTGTGATATGGAAAGTCTGTGAGGGGCTTCCCCGGCCCCAGAAGAAATCCACACAGTGTTCTGTGTGCTAACAGCATGGCTTCAAACGTAAACAGAATTCTATTTTTTTTAGGTCGGTCGATGTCAAAGAAATCTCACACTGGAGAGCCGCTTCCCTGGCGTCTCTGGCCTCCCGCTCTCTGTGCCTGGGAGCGTCCCGGGATCCGCAGCCTGTTCCCGGCCTTGCCCCGCCCGGCGTCTCTCCCTGCCCGGCTGGCCCCTCTGCAGGCTCTGGCTCGGGGGCAGGTGTAGCAAATTACCCTGCCCATCCCTGCAGCTCAAACCAGCCGTGGCTCTGATGCCCTCAGTCCCTTCTTCCGCCTGGTGCAGGGCCAGCAGGGGGCTCTGCCCGTCCTCGGGGGCCCTCGTCTGTGCCCCCTCACTGCTCCGGAAGAGACCCCCGGGGTCGCGGCTGGTCGGAGCGGACCTGCCTGCTGACCGCAGTGGTGGGCTGGGCCCCGGCAGCAGAGCCGTGTGGGCCGTGGGAGTCAGGGTGTTGAGGACACACGCGTGTGGCCAGGATAACAGCCACTGTCCCCCGTGCCATTTCCTCCCAAGTGGTCAGACCCTCCAAGGGATCTGTGTCAGGGGCTTGATGAGTGACAAGAGGGGCCCTCACCTGCATCCTAAACACCTGGCCCTGGAGTCTACTCTGGGCCATCCCGCCTGCCGGGTGCAGCCTCCAGGGGTTGGCGAGCTGTCTCCTGTGGGGTCCTCGTGTCGTCCTCGGGGGTCTCCTGGGGGCTCAGTGTGTTTGGCCGTGGCTTTATCCAAGATCAGAAAAGTGTGTTCCAGGAGGAGCCAAGGTGTAACCCTGGCATCATTACGGAGCTTCGGCTGCTCGGGTTCCCAGGCACCTACCCGTGTCCTGCATCTCCGACTGAAAAAAAAAATAAAAAGCATAATTTTAGGGATAAATCAAAGTCCCCTTCAGTGCTTCAAAGCTCGAGGGTGAAAATTACGTGGGTGCCATTTGCAATGTCCCCTGAGTGGCTTCCTGGACAAGCCCGCAGACATTTAACACGCTGACTGCCGTGTGAGCCATATTTAACCCAGGCCAGCTTTGAGCACAGGGCCGCGAGAAGCAAAACCCTGAGGTGGGTTCATGAAAATCGTACTTGTTGATGTTCCTACTGTTACAGTTAATACTGACGATTTAATTCTAAAAACGCGGATCGAGTTGCGTATAACTCACGCACAGAAAACAGTAAAAAATAACAAATTAGAAAGGGTCATTTTGTTTTAGTAAAACACCGTGGCCCCAGGGAAAATGTTGTTTTCTAGTGTGGCAGTCAGCGTGTTCACAGGTTAATCCGTAGAAACTGGACCCCGAGAGTGACACCTGCCCTGTCGTGATCCACTACATTCGCTCTTTTCTGGACCCCATCAAAGTTAAAAAAAAATTGATTTAAAAATCAGAGACTTTCTACATCTTAAAAATAAGAAAGAGAGAATACAGTCAGAAGTTGGAAGTCTTAATCTTTTCACTTGGAAGAAAAACGTCATCCTTGTTAACTACCAAAATTCTCGTCAAATGTGCGCTCAGACACCACATGGGGCTTTCTGGTTCTCGTGCTGACGTCGTAGACTTAGAGCTTCCCGGGCCCCACACACTCACGGCAGGGCACCTGCTATGGGGACGTCATCTATTGTCCCCTCAGATCATTCAAACCAAACCGAACAAAACCCACACACACTTCCCAACGTCAGTGTGCTTGCTTCTGGTCTATGGCCAGGTAAAGTACTTCGTTACGATTGAATTATTTCAGGAGTCCTGTGTGCTTTACACAGATCCAGGGCTGTATAATCAGAAAGTTCAAACGAGCCCCTTGCTAACAAATCCTAGAGGAAGGAGAGAGAGAGGATGCGTGTGCAGGAGCTATTAATGTCCTGATATCCAATAACAAGTATAAAAGCTTTACCTCTCTGCATCTATAGAGCCAAATGAACTTCTAATCTGTTGGACTGTAAAGATTTATTGGTCTGGGGTTGGAGTGGGGTGAGGGGCAGACGACAAAGGCAGTGGCAGGGAGGAGGAAGTGAAGACCAAGGAGGGAGAAAGGCCGCATGTTTATGGTCTTACTCAGAATCTCAAAATGGGAAAATACCGAAACCCATGGGCTCAGCAAACCTGACGTAGGAAACCAGGCAGGCAAAGGTGGTGGGGGGTTCAGACATGAACAGGTTAGAGCATGCAAAAGAAATGCATGTGTTTTCTTCTTTGGTTTTCGTGAGAATGTGCGTTCATTTGGAGTGTGGCAGTGTTAAGAAGCGTGCAGACGGAGAGAGGTAACGGTGGTGCCCAGCGAATCCCAGAAACCCGAAAGAGCCAGTGCAGATTTGCAGGCAGGCCAGAGAGTTCTGCAGGGCTCGTGGGAAACCTTACCCATTTCATGACACAGATTATGAAAGGCTTTCGGTCAGCGGGTGCGAAGGTGTTTATCCTTACCTGAGTTAGGGGTCGTTATTTTATGGTGCATTTTGTGTTTTATATTTAGGGTTTTTTTTGTCTATAGTTTGGATTGTTTTTTATCCTGCCCCGTGAAATTGCTCAAAGACACGGCGAAGGCTGACGGGGCGCGTGTGCCTTGAATCGCAGGAGCTGCAGAACACGGTGGCAGCCGCGGGCCAGGTGGTGGTCCTGGAGTGCCGCGTCCGGGGGGCGCCCGCGCCGCAGGTCCGGTGGTTCCGGCAAGGGAGCGAAATCCAAGACTCTCCGGATTTCAGAATTCTGCAGAAAAGTAAGGAGGGGGTGCCTGTTTCCCCCAAATCTGACCCTTTTATTCTAGCTTCGGGAAAACCAAGAAGGGCTGAGTCATTCCGATGAGTTGAATTCTATTTTCTCAAAGACCAGATAATCCACACGGTGTGAGATCTAGTAAAATAGGACCGTGGCCCCTTTGAAACACCGATGAAAGTTATATATTCTTCCTTCCAAGAAAAATGCATGTATACATCAGGACTCAAAGTTGGGCAAATAATATTTAGGGGGCTCACAAGCCTGCGATAGCCCAGCTGTGAACTGCAGTTTCAAAAACTTCCTAGAGGCCGGGCGCCGTGGCTCACGCCTGTCATCCTAGCGCTCTGGGAGGCCGAGGCGGGAGGACTGCTCGAGATCAGGAGTTCGAAACCAGCCTGAGCAAGAGCGAAACTCAGTCTCTACTATAAATAGAAAGAAACTAATTGGCCAACTAATATATCTAGGAAAAAAAAATTAGCCGGGCATGGTGGCGCATGCCTGTAGTCCCAGCTACTCGGGAGGCTGAGGCAGGAGGATCGCTTGAGCCCAGGAGTGTGAGGTTGCTGTGAGCTAGGCTGACGCCACGGCACTCACTCTAGCCTGGGCAACAGAGTGAGACTCTGTCTCAAAAAAAACAAACAAAAAAAAAACTTCCTAGAGTAAGCTGCTACTCGAAATCGAGTTTCTGTATTTACAGAAATATAAGTTGATCGACCGTCACTTTATCTCTTTTGTATTTCGGATTTGACGGTAACATTTCTGCAGTCGTGTCCTGGGCGAGGCTATAGAAACGGATCGGTAGGTTTGTTGTCTAATGGAACCCCCTTCTAATACTGTATTCTGATTTATTCTATTTTATTTTTTTCATGTGGCAAACAGAACCCAGATCTACAGCTGAACCTGGTAAGAATCTCTGTGCGCGGGGAGGGAGGTGTAACATGTCTCTGGGTATCAATGGTTCTTTGTTTCCGCTCTGAAGCCACACGCAGAACAATGTTTTTGCAGTTCCCTGGAAACGCAAAACCCCCTTAAAGACAGTATATCCTTTATCGCGGGCTGGGCACGCCGCATTTTACATCAGCTTCTTTATTAGGGAGACATTAAGTTCCGTTCAGGCAAGAAGGCCAGGCTCAGTGACTTCGGGCTTTGTTAAACACAGTCTTCCATGCTCAGAAAGCAGACCGAGCTAACGACGGAAAAATGTCCTCCTAAAATTCCGGCGGAAAAGAACAATCTGCCGCGCACACCCCTGCCCCAGCCGCTAAACGCTGGCTCCTGGGCTTAGAAACGCTCGGAGGGGTGGCCCCGGTCACGGGCAGCCCGGCCCCCGAGGGTCCCCTCCGTGTGCCCCAAGCCATAACTCTGGCTGCTCTGCACGAAGAAGGTCGTCTTGCCCAGGGATCCCGTAACCACCGGGTCGCCCGACCTCATCAGAGCGCTCCGTGCCCCAGGGGCCCGGGCCAGCGGCTCCCCGGGCTCAGGCTGCTCGTGTGTTTACGGCTCCTCCAGGACTGAGCCCATGATTGTAAAGCAAACACGGCTTTCGTGGAGGTATTTCCTAGCAGGTCCTCCCGGAGACCATCTCCTTCTGTATTTTCCCCATCCGCGAAGCCACGGCGCCTCTTATTTCTTAGCCAAGGGCAGGAGAACAAGCCCCTCTCCTGCTTGTGCCCCCGCGCAGTGCCAAGCAGGTCTTGCCAGCTGTGCCTTGCGAGTCGTGACCTTGCTCTGACCCTTCTTGGGGGCGTGGAGGTTCTCTCTGGGGGCTCCTGCGGCTCAGATTACGAGTCAGCCCCTGAACTCTCACACCTGAGTCTGGGGCCTTAAAAGCAGTGGGTGGCACGACTGGGGCCCACAGCGTGCGGGGGGGCTGGGCAGCGTCCTGGGGGAAGAACTGGAACGACCCACTGTCCTCTTGTCATGAGTCACCGCTAGAGCGGGCCACCCACCGAAGGTGCCGGCCACCACGTCAACCACTGCAGTCCCTTTCCAGACTGTGGACACACAGCTGCACATTTTGTCTGTGACACTTTGTCTGTGTATGAAATGGCATGACGCTAGTTCCCTGACACGTGGGACTTCTGAGACTAAATCTACTGGGGTAGCTATTATGGAAATCCTGCAGGGAGCTGGGACACATCTTTTGCTTTTACTATTTTAAGTAGACTTTAAAATATAAGGAAAAGTAGGAACTGAACATCTCCTTTATTTACGAGAAATAGCTCACTATGTGAAACAAACCTATAAAGCGATTTATGTCTTATAATGTTTCATGTACAAATAAGACTGCAATCTGGAGCCAACAATTCTGCAAACATTGTTATTACTGGGGTGGATTAAGGCTGCTTTTGATGTTGCGTTTTTGGACTCTGAGCAAACTCATGCAACTCATTCTTCATCGTGTCGTTATCCATCGTCAGGAAACGGACATTCATTAAATGTCCTTCATTAAAATGTCTCTCGTAATCTAGGTTGGAAAATCATAAACTAACCATCATCTAAAAAACTCAAAACACTGGTTAGAAGCTGCAGTTTAGTTTTGAGTATTGTGCATGTTTGAAAGTTAGAAACACTCAGAATATACCGGGCTAATGAGGAATAAATTTGGATAAGGAGGGAGACCCCCCCCCACGCCCCACTCCTCACCCCTTCCTCTGCATACACCCCCTCCCTGTCACTTATGGTTTGCTGCTTTGCTTCTAGAATACAGTTTTGATCCTGAATTTTTTAATAAGGTTCATCCTCAGCAGCTTCGTGGAATCACCTGACCTCTAGCACCTGCTTACGTGCCTTTTTGGGTTGACGTGACAACATCACGAAGAAAAGAACTAAGACAGGGAGGGCCTTCCTTTCAAACCCCTTGTCCTGGCAATGCATGAAAATGTTTCCTCTCCGTGTTCACCGAATTCTCTTATTTTTATTTTCCCTTCGGTTAGATCTGGAAGCATTTAAGAAAACAGGCTCCTCCATTCCAACCACAATAATAGCATTTGCGGAAAACAAATTTTTCTTGGCAGAGAAATAGTTCAAGCTAATCTGTCAATATAAGAAAAAAGCACATGTGGTCAGGAGCTAGTAATAACCAACACAGCAAATACCCCCTGACCTCCACTAACTTCTCCACAATCACACGCAGCGGGGCGCTGCGAGAGCCGCTCCTTCCCCTTCACGGGAAGCGTCACCGCGACCCGCTTCAGGACGCCCACAGCCGGCATGCAGTGCTAAACAAAATCTCTGATCCCATTGTTTTGAACAAACAAGAAAACCCTCAAACACACGAATGACTCCTCAAAGGACTGCTTGTGTGCGTGGTTATGAGTAGGAACCTCAGAGCAAGCAGACGCCAAAGCTTATTTGCATTTAAACAAAGCTCTGCCGTGCCCGCGCCAAAACCAGGTCTGACTCTTCCACGGGTTGCCAAGTGTCTCCCTCACGTTGACCTTGAGGCTGCGGCTGACCTTGAAGCTGCAGAGTCAGAGGAGAAAGCAAAATAAATACGACCACCTATTCGGTGGTCCGTGGGCTGACCGACGCTTGCGTCTAACGGACCCCTGAGCCGTTGGACTGTGTAGAGTGTGTCAGTACGTAGGAACTGGCTTCCGGGTGGCTCTTTTTTAGCCCTTGTTAAGCGGAAAGTAGAAAAACAGACATACATGGCTGCAGCACATCTGCAGCAGGAGATAAATTTTATGGGACTAGGTCGGGGATATTTTCCAAATGCTAACCATAAATAGCCTTTGAAATTCGGGAAAATATTCAAGCATTCAGATTGTATCGCCCTCCCTTTCTCCTGGCATAGCCACTCTCTCCTTGGTGGCCACCTTTTGTGAGAGCCCTTCTCTTTCCCTCCCTTCCTCCCTGCCTCCCTTCCTCTCTCTCTCTCTCTGCCCTCCCTCTCTTCTTTCTCCCTCATTCCTTTAATCTTCTTTTCCTTCTTCTCTTTAATGTCCTTCCATATTCATGCACAAGATGTTTTAAAGTTCCAGAAATGAAACTGAAATTCCCCAGTGCGTAGCCCCATTGGCGATTAGGCGTGTAGATAAAGAAGGAAACGGCAAGCCCCTCCCAGTCATCCGTGCAGCTGAAACAGGTTTTTCTTGTCACCACGGTGGTGTTGTATCTGCACGATGTGCTTTACACTCCCGCGCTGTCTAGACAGCAGTCAGCTTGCCTCACAACTCTTTCCAGGCCGTTTTGTGAACTAATAGCTGGTCAGCTTACTTAAGACCAACGACCGTTTGTCATGTTACCTTCCCCGGCCGCCGCCTCTGACGTGCTGATTTCACCGCGATCGATGTCTTCAACGCCCCGGCTGCCTGGGACGGAGGACTCGCCGGACGGCTGCGGACACTCGTGCCCTTACTCGGCCGTCTGCAAACAGCCCCAGGCCACACCGAGTCACCTCTGTGTCACTGTCTAGCGGCACGCAAAATCACACGCACAGCACGCGTCTTCCTGGTTGGAGTTGTGTCCCTGTGAAAGCACGGTGCCTCCTGCTGTCCATGTGAGTCTCGGCTCCCCCGCCTGATCCGTCCTGGGTCTTGTACGGTAGAGTCCAGGCTCTGATTCCGTGACCCAAAGCCAAGCGAGTCACCCTTAGCTAATCGCGCTAGGCGTTAAGTCGTAGGAGGGCAACGCTGGGGGCGTTTGTAGGTCGTGCACGGTTAGAAACTTAACGCAAGTAGGCTGGGTAAAACCTGCAGTTCCCAAACTGTGTGACAAGGTACCCTACAGTGGTGCGCCAAACCAACGGGGGGGGGCAGGAGGGGGGGTGCCGTGACAGATGTGACGTTTCTGACGCGACCGCATCAGGACTGGACATCCGACAGATGTGGCACAGCCGCTAGCTTGAGATAGTTCATAATTCCAACGTCGGATCGCCCTCCCCCCTTTGCTCTGACACCTGTCTTTGTGAAACTGAGTTTTTGACGGGCGCGTGATCAAGAGCAAGCGCCACATGGAAGTGCGTGTGGGACGTGCAGCGAGGCCGCGTGTCCGGCCTGGCTCCAGGAGAGGCCGCACGGTGCCCTCTGCATGCCTTTGCCCCTTGGTCAGTGGCCGTGGTCGCTTGAGGATAAAATAATATCTTTCCTTCAATTCATGTGCATTTTCTCTAACAGGAGCTAACTTGCTCAGGCGTGCATACTTGTTGCACTCTTCGGAAATAACCACGTCATAAATGGCACTCTCATTAGGTGTGTCTTTTAGGAGCACCGTGAAGGAATTGCTAAGATATTTAGGGTCCCATGAGCCAAGGAAGGTTTTTTTTTTTTTTAAGTGTCTGCGGGGAGGGGGACTGAAGTGCACACCACAAGGAAAACCCAGTGGCTCTCTGAACCCTAAAGGCGGAATGTGCCGGCTCTTAGCCCTCTTCCCTTCTAGAAGGCCGGCCTGTGAACTCTGCCTCGCTTGGCAAAGGCTGAGGGACTTTTCTCTGAGCAATCTGAACATCCCAAGAGAAAAAAAAAAAATCACAGATAACGGCTTGGGAGTTTCTCCTTATAAAGATGTCTCCTAGGTTATGCTGCGGGGAGGGCCAAGGCTGGCAAGTTCCTCTCTCGTGCCCAGAGCTTCTGGTCAACTCACAACCGTGTCGGACGAGCAGAGATGGGGGGAAATCTGAAGAAAACCTCTTATTAACACGAATGATGTAGAGGGAAAATTAAAAAGCACCTTTCCCAAAAAGCAACTTAGAGAAAGCAAATTTGCAAAGAGAAGAAAATATTATATTAAAACAAAACAAAATCTCTCCTCAGGCAGATAAGAAAATAAGTGCATCCAAGAAGGAAAAATGAAAAGCTATTTTAAAAACTGGAAGGGGGAGGACATTTGGGAAACAAAAAGAGTCCCTGGAATGGAAAAGCTGGTCGCAGAAAATCAAAGTTGAGAAAATGTCCAGCAAA